GGCATCTACTGCCCTCATCCTACTGCTCACTGAACAGCAACTGCGTGTAGTCAGTTCCAAGCGTCCTGTAAGATCCTTAGCTGCCAGATCTTACAAATGAGGCTGTTTTGTCATCAGCTGTATATTGAGGACATCCAAATTCTTCCTCAAACTTGTAAATATGAGAGTTTATTTGGATGATATTTGTACAGCTAACAAAGCCTGCTTTCTGCGATTAGCTATGCTGCCAATGCAGCATAAATTGGAACAGTCAACTATCATTAGCGTGGTTTGGTAATAATTACGCAAGCATGTGATCACTTTGAGTAGGTTTTTTGCAACACAGGTCTTGAGTCAAATGTCCACCTCGACCAAGATGACTTAAAGCGGAAAATGAGGTGTACTGGACGTCTGGAAAAGTTACAACTTCAACTTCGTACTAAATTTATCAGCACGATTTCCATTTGTTGACTAAAGTAAAGCATAGCCTTAGACTGTGCCACCGGATAATCATTCTTGTATCAGTGTTCCGATTTTCACCATATTTTCATTGAGAATACTAAATCATGAGTTACGATGTGTCCTGTCATTAACGGCCTTGTGCAAATCATGTTTTTATATGAGGGACGGAGGGACAAACGAACAGCAGGGTGGAGAAAGAGGAAAAAACGTTTCTCAGTCTCATTGGAGTGCCCGTGTACATTGGGGTAGGAACACTGATCTCATGCTCCCAGTAATGCTTGACTCGATATCCATCAGTCCTGCCCTGAACATGCAACCAGTTTAGCAGTAGGGTCTTGTCTGGCCTTGTCTGTTTACAAACGAACAAGCTCCCAGAATTGATCTTAAATATGTTGCCGTTTTGTGGGGAACAAGGACAGATCATGAGTAAGTAACTAGGCCACCTCAGGTCTAGCTTCTGCGCAGTGTGATCTGGGGAAGCGACAAGTGCTCATGTGCACTGGTTTGCTGCGCAGTTTGCTGTGTGTCTTTCCATTTTTCATTTGAAAATGTGTTGTGTATTGGGTGGCAGGTAGCAACCTTTAGAAAACAGTTGCTATTTGTTTCAGAGGGGTT